GTCGGCATGAAATAAATCACTATTAACGATTAAATAAAATCTTTATCTAAGAAATAAGAACTCAGTCTGCAACATTTGAGTGAAACAGAAGAAGCTAGAACTGAGATTCGTAATTGAACTGATTAAGGGTCTGTTTCCCACCCCCATATGAGTAAAATTTATGTGGTAGATAGTGACTATCCATATCCATATCCTTGATATTAGTATTAAGGTCCTGATTTACAAAATCTGGAACTAATTCCATATGGTACTCAAAAATACCTCAAAAATATATTGTGCTCATTTATGACTGATTTTTTCTAGACGCTTATTTAGTAGCAGAGCCGCGGAGGACCTAACAGGTTGCCGGGGCACCGATTCGAAGTGCAGGAGTAGGAACGGCTTGGCTTCGTGGCTTTTAGTCAGTAAGAGCCTGACTCTGCCTTTCGGCTCACCTCCGAGATAAATGATTAGATGATTCTCCCCCCTTAAAAAAGACATTTGTTAGGAATTCCGATTTAAAAAAATATTCTACACACCTACGGCTAAAGTGTGGTCTGTGACATCTTTATAATCACGCGAAATTGTATTATTTAGCATTTGCCAAATTGGGCGTACCTAGATTTCATGACACAGCATGTTCCTTAAATATAAGAAACAGTCTCAGATAATAATATGTTAACCTCGTCGTAAAATATTTTCCTCGAGTTTATGAATTTTGGTTGGTATTTCGTTTTATTGAGTTGTTTGTTACATAATTAACAAATTATTATTAAGCACAGATATATCGGTGGGCGGAGTTTATCATTTAAAGAAAAAGAAATACTATACAAATTATATATATTATGTACTATGCATATAAATGTAGGTATGTGTTTAAAGCTTTATAATAATAATCTTGTTATTTTCCTCCAGCTAAAAATTCAGACGTAGAGACCATTCATCTTTCGTCTTTCTTAATGTAACAAAGATAACCCTATAGACCTCAATTAAAGTTGTCAAAACATTTTTTAATTAAACGAATGAAATGATAGTGTTACTTACTTATTCTGTTGGAGATATTCCGGAGCGCCATCTAATAAGGTCCTTCTTCAGGTATCACCATATTCACACCAGTTAGAACTTATAATGAATCACAGATGATCATCATCATCAATTGGGTAGCTTCCAGGGTATCAAAATTAAAAATCTAATTAGTCCGTCAATTAGATAATGAAAAAATATTAGACACGTATTTTTTTTTCTCGTATTAAGTTGCAACACTTAGATAAAATGGCGCTAAGTTTAGGAGTGGGAGGTTGTTACGTCATAACGTGCTACAAAATTTGGCACGCTGTGACGTCACACGTTAATTCAAATTTATATATCGTCGAAAGTATTTAATTGTGTGAGAAAAGAAAAAATACGTGTCTAAAGTTTTAAATTAATGTACCAGACGGACATTAAAATAATATTTAGGAAACTACCCTCTTATGTTTTCCTACAGCAACCTCTATTGCCGTAAACACGAATAACTTTATTTTCTTTCCTAGTCCTACCTTCGTCCATTCTTTAATCATTTGCAGGTTATTTTAGCATACTCTTATTGCTTTCTATTGAAGTACAAGAACATGTACTATAGGTACATACCTATTTAGAACTACCTTATGTATATGAAATTCGTCACCTGGATAATCAACTTGAAGTAAATACACGAGGCGAGGACATCTAGAAATAGTTTCTTATCCAATGTCAAGTATTTACTTGTAGACTTCATTGTAGGGGTTACAATAAATATATTTGTAAAAAAAATGCAAGCTATGATGAAACTGTGACGTTGAAGTGTTGACGTAGTAGCTAGTAGTACCAATCAATGAAAATAGATGCCCACTTAATTATTGATTTACGTATTTGTTTACTGCGTAAGCATGTTGCGTCTAGATTTTTTCTGTCTTCTAAGGGATGAATTACTTATCCGTTACCTAATGTAAATTAATTTATGAGATATAGGTAAACAACTGCAATTCCTAACTAAAGGTGTACCCTGTAGGGTAGTATGAGTATGACCCTCGAATTTCAGCCTTTCACGAGTTGTGTGTTTAGTATAGCATGACGAATAGGGAATTATTTACTTATTTCATTCATATTATTGGTCAGTATAAATGTATTATCGGTTTATTTAAGCCAATGAAAAACGTATATCACGAACTGTCGAAAATATCTACTTACTCAAGAGTTATGAGGTTTTTGACCCAGGTAAGTTTGACGAAAACAGAAACGTTATAGATAAGATGGTTATAAAAACTCTTTTATTTATCAATGCGCTCCTTGATAACCTCGTATAACGAAATATTTTCAAGAGAATGGTAAAAACCGGGAAGGTTATGCTAAAAATTTTATTTGTATAACTACATACGTACCTACTGTTTGTTATTTGTTATATATTTTCAATATATTAGGCAGTAATATTTTATGTGTGAATTAATCATACTAGTCAGAAGTTCACTGAATATATTTCATAAAACAAAAGAAGATCGTAAATAGGTTTCCACATTTGAAAGTGGCCAGCTTGTCACAGATAATATAAACATATATAACAGCATTGAAGTGTAAGAAGTACCTAAGTAATTCGGTATGGTTACACGCTTGATTAAATTCATTTGTAATTTACAAGCAAGGTTGGATTTCAAACAGGTAGATAATGCGAGGATGTGCTTGTACCGTAGTACCTTGCTATTACCTACAAATTTACAAAAAACCTTATTCGTCCAAATCTCGACAAGCGGTCGCGAGCTTGGCAAGATGCGATAAAAATATTTTTTGTTTTTAAAAGGAAGTTTACATATCGTGTCATATCGATGTTCCTCGTCCATTTATTTATCTTCCAGGATAACGTTTGAATTATTATTTTGATAAGCAATGTTAAGTTTACTGAAATAGATAGTATAGTTTAGTTTAGATAGTCAAATTATGGTCATTGGTCACTATCAGCTAGTAGTTTCCGCTGACATAAAATTGGTGTCCCCAAATCTCCGTATCTAAAAAGATACAGCTTACATAACATCACGCCTTTTATCCCCGAAGTGGTAATCAGAGGTGTACATTACAATACTTAACGCCACTGTACAATGTAACACCCACTTTTCACTATTTATGTTATGAGTCCCATGTAGGTAATATAGGGTGAGCCTATTACCATAAATCGGGTACAATTCCAGGCTCCATGTCATTACTGAGATTTTTTTAAAAGACTCTCAGCCGGGCTGTCGCACTTGCGACCACTCGGCCAACAAGGCAGTATACAGCTTACATAAAGTTGATAATCTGTATTATTAAGCATATGTATATGGGTATAAATTACGTTCTTACTATGCTTAGATCATAGACAGTGTATCTGATATGACCTAGACTAATACCAATGCATGAGTGTAGGTCCAGTAGTCATTAAGCTCACGGAGATTTACTCAATTAAACCACATTGGAGTATAAATGACATGTTGTAACGTAGGTATATGAAACTACATACTTTTGTCGATTCAATGAACATGTAATTGTTGAATTACAACTCGATAAATACAATCACTCGTAGGTTATTTGCATAGCCGGTATAATCAGTGGTATTTTTAGACACAGACTATTTTATATTAAGCGTTAATTTTGATTCAGATCATCTACGTTTTACGAGGGATTTTGAGCTACAAAGAGATAACATATGAGTTAGATATATGTTTCTACATCGTTTTAATATTGTTTACTTATTTACAAAGATGTTACCTGCCCTTGAGCCCGCTAATGTGGAGCATTCAGAGATGATGGAGACACAAGGGTTACTGTGTATTTGTTTGGTTAACCGTGTTATCTTATCTTTAGCATACTGCGTAACCAATAGATGCGCTGACGGTTCTCTGTTGAAGCTGAACTGTCCTTCAACTTATATTAAGTTCATTCCACATCACTTAGCACCTATTCACATAAACAACGTATTTGTAATTGTAATGTTATTTAATGTATGCTTTAGTAAATAGTTTAGAATCACTGCTGTACTGTCTGGGGTGGCGTCTGCGTTATTACGATGGCTATTACTTTCTTAGTGATATTTCGGAGAAAAAGTGATAGAAAAGAACATTGAAAAGCGTTAGACTATAATATAATGTGCGAGTAGTTTTATTAGTACAAGGCGAATCTATACTTATACTGTTGTCGCGGAAAACCTAACGGGTAACCGGGGCTCTGGCTCGACGTGCAGGAGAAGGAATGGGGTGGTTTTTAGTCAGTAAGAGTCTGACACTCCTTCCTGCCTCATCCAGGCGGGAGCAGTCATTCGATAATTTTCCCCCCTTAAAAAAAACTTATACTGTTCTATCTTTGTTAGCACTTTGGTAGTTGGCACTGTATCTATTTATGCACCCAATATGTTGACCAGTTGGCTTTCACATAGGTAGCTTTGGATGCAAATTATTAACAAATAAACCAAACTATTAGATCTTATAAATACTGAAGCATTTGTACTAGACTTCACTTTATTTACTAGTCCTCATACGTACGCTTTGGCAATTAAACACGCATCATCCAAAGTCCCCGTTGAACTGAAGCAACCATGCGAAAAACTGGCCATATCGTTACAAAGTAACCATTTTCTTGTACCTATGTAGGCCACGTTAGCAGACCCTGGTTCTTACGATACAACGTATAATTAACATTAAGTAGCGCTCGCAATGAAAAACATCCCTCGACGACGTCGACGTTCAATTACATACGATTTCATATTATCAAGCCTCGTGATTTTTTCTCATATCGATGAGGTCTATTTATATGTAAGTACGAAATTAATTATATCTTTCATCACCTCTTTTTAAGCTCGGATAAAACTGTCTAGTAATTTATACGAGTGAAGATGCTTTTGAAGTTCCAAAACTCTTCGCCAGAATTACATTCTGTTGGTATCTACCCACTTACAAACATTTGTTAGTCATTCATTCAATACCTAACTTTATTAATTTTACCTTCCTATTACAACTTCATTTTGTCATTTTTTCTGTATACCGACAAAACTTACGCATTTTACAACACATGACAGCGTATCAACATTTAGTACGAATCCTCATTGTTAAGTGACGTGTTCTTAAGAAAAGACTAATTGATGGTAGTAGGTATTATGTACGAAAAATAAGAGTGATTCTTCACAAGAGTGTAAACTGGATATTTTTATTTATTTTATATTTGCATTTGCGATAGTGGACTAGTTATGGACGCGCAAAGCATCGATGCATTCGCCACAAGCATAAAAAAGGTAATAAATATTACTTTGTAGTGAAAGGAGTTGAATATTAAAGGAGTTGTTTTTATTAAGTTTTGTTTGACATTCGATTTTAAGTGGATATAATCTTTGAAAAATATTTGCAATATATTTCACTAATCCCTCTTGAAAAAAAATTGCCATAGCAAGCAGGTTCGCTTTCGAGTGCATTACTACTTAGAAGAGCATAATACTATTCCATGGAGGATAATGAAATGCACGATACCGATAACAATAGTTGTAGGTAGGTACAGCTAACACTAACATCATTGACAACTCGCAACAGGTTTGCGAAAGTTGCAATCCCGTTAAATTCCAGTGCCAGTTAAGATCTCTTGTGAAATGCGGGATCCGTTAAAATTGCAATAAAAACTCGAGCCACCAGCACCGCTCGATACTGGTAGATAATTTCTCACATATTAAGCTGTCACTGAGTGCAGTTAGGAGTGAGATGGTCGGCCGTTGACGCCTGTGTCCGGTGTGCGGCCGTGTAGTGTTACGTAACAACGAGAGACAGTTACGCAAAGCCAATGTCAAGAGCGCGTCAACACAATGCTATAGCAACAACCGATGCGAACTTAATTCAAGATCTCAGTCGAGCCACGCGACGTACAGCCAGCCCGCACGCGGGGTCGCCGACCACGATACCAAACAAAATCTTAAAGCCGAAACTTGAACATGTATGTACAAAGATTTTTGAACTTGATATCGATAATAAGAGTTAAAAGAAGCATGTATGTATGTAGGTACACAGATATTCAAGTGCGGTCAATGAACTTAATGGATTATTGACGCTGTCAATAATAAAGATTATTCTTAGTAACTTTATTTATTTAGGGGATCATAACATTTTAAATCGTTTTTCCCATAGATGTCTAGAAGGAAATGCTAGATTATCTAGAAATTTGGCGCTAGCCAATAAACGAATATTTGCATTAGAATATGTTTTTGTTGTTGCAGGTCGCGCCGCCTCCTCTGGTGGATTGGACATGTATCCCCACGTTGGTACTGGTGGTGTTGCTGGTGCTAGTAGTGGCCTCAGCACTAGCGGCTCGAGCGATGGCAGATGTCCGACCTGTCGAACGCTTACCCGGCCCCCTACCATTACCATTTGTGGGCACAAGGTGGCTCTTCTGGAGCAGATACAAGATGAACAAGCTACATGAAGCTTATGAAGGTGAGAAATTCATTAAAAATATAAAAACTTTGATAAAATTGAAGATATATTCAGATTTAAACTTGACTTGAATTGATTTGTACAATTCCTTTATTTTACTCATAAGAGACCGAAATTAAGTAAAACATCGAGACAAACACAAAGATTCGATGTTTCTTCAAGAGCAGTCAGACCTAGGAAATGTCGAAATCACCAAGTTTTATTTTTTAAGACTTTATAAGATTTGATTTATGATTTATTTATGACCAGCCTGAATTGCAGCATAGACTGTAAATCGGGTGGATAACTTTGCTCGCCGCCTTTTATGACGAATGCGTTCACGTCTCAGATAGAAATGGAAACAACGTTGAGTAATCTAGAATCTAGAGTATCAGACATAATTAGGTTTCGAGATTAATTATTAATTCAGTAGCCAGCTATAAATAACTTGTTCTAGTTCGCCAGACTTATTTGTAGTTCAGTATTTGTGTTATATTGATAAGAAAATAATTAACATAGTTAGGAGGAAGTCATTTATATGACTGTAGTAAAATTTTACTATAGTAAGTACAGTCATGTAGATTGCCTAATATTGAATACAAATAATTAAAGCAAGTGAGAACGTCTCAACAAGTCTAATCGGTCGGGTTCGATACCTGGACCAAGTTAAGTATTATTAAACATTTTTGGTAGTAGCACTCTGCCCAGAACTCTAGTCGATACCATACACCTAGTTCTGTCTGTACCTCTATACAGACTTTCTTTTATAAATTCTTTTAAGGAAATAGATGATGGTGTTATATTGTATTTAAAAGCTAGTTTACGGTCACAATGAGAGATTTGCACACAGACATGTTCAGGCGTTACGGGTTGGTTTTCGCGGAGATCCACCCGGGGGGTGCCACTATGGTGTCAATCGCGGAGAGGGAGGCACTGGAGGCGGTGCTCAGAGCTCCATCGAGGCGTCCCTACAGGCCGCCTACAGAAATCGTACAGGTGTACCGCAGAAGCAGACCTGATAGATACGCCTCCACTGGACTTGTCAATGAGTAAGTATTTATTAACTCGTCGAATACCGTCATTATAGACACAATTATAGAACAATAGGTTGCGGTCACCGGTGACCGCTTGGTGTTTGACAGTTTAAGAGTAAAATCAAAATAGCTTCAGTAACCTGAACTAGAAGGTTCGATTGGTTGATAACAGCATTAGGTACTTAAGTGGGTTTATGTACACTGTCCAATACAGTACAAACGTATGAACGTAGAAACCTCTTTAAAACAGTGTAGATGCTAATTTAGAATTGGTTTCTAGAACATATCATTAGCTAACTTTACCGGGGAGTACTTTCATTCCCAGACAGTAAATTAAGTTATTCCAGAAGGCTATAAACTAAAGGCCGATTATAGATAACGCCAATCATTTCGTTTTCTAGTCTACAGTAATTGACATAGATTGCTAGTAATGACAATTATACTAAGTTATTTTATACGTAAAGCATTCATACTCTGCGGGTGGTGTGACCTCGAACCATTGGTATGGTTCTATTGTGTTCAATACTGAGATTTTGGCATGGCTTCATACTTCAAGTCACGTATATTTCGAATGGGTAGGCACTCGTTGATCGACGTTTCAATGTGGCTATTTCGTTTAAGTAATAATCAACATATCATTAATCTATAGAGGGTCAATCTATACTTAGTACATACTGAATTAATTAAAAGCAATTTCTCCCCCAGAACAATGGAAAGAGTAATTTTGCTTAGAGTAAATACATTGTAACTTTACACCGATTTTTGACAAATAAAGTGCCTAATTAAGTGACGGCAAGCTGACATTTTAGTGAAAAACATCTTCCGAGGCACCATACCTACACGTTAGGCAGTTAATGCCCTAACAAGATCGTAAAATATAATCATTACTAAGACAAGCATGTAATTACGTATGTTACGTTGACTGTGTATATTATTGCCTAAACGAAATTTAGAGATTTATAAAACGCTCACGTTTTTTCGGCGGTAGAGCTCTCAAGGCCCAAGTACCTGTGGTACTAACTGGCTATCATAGATCTGGCTAGGTTAAATGTAACTATAAAATGCTAATAATAGTCCTAAGACATGGTCAAGGCTGAAATTTTATGGGTTCCGTGAGTTTCGTAAGAGGCGTATAAGGTCGATATGAGTGTACAGACGGGTAAACAAGGCTTGGCATTAAAGCTACTCTATTTATGTAACCTGAATGATTAATGAAAAGTTCGGGGTAAAGCCTTAGAATATTTTGAAGTAATGTGCCCAATATTTAACCTTAGGATAAAGCTTTTAAGCCTTAGACTATTTAACAAAAGGCAGTGACGGAGTAAGCCTTTCGGAGATTTAAAAGTTAGGGATCACATTAAATGAAGAATAAGAAGGTTTAACAATTTTTTTCGTCATATTTTTCAGACAAGGCGAAAAATGGTATCATCTTCGGCGTCACTTGACAGCAGAACTGACAAGTCCTAGCACAATGCAGGGCTTTCTCCCTGAACTCAACACAATTTGTGACGACTTCCTCGAGTTAGTGAACACATCTCGTCGTGCTGACGGAATTGTGCCTGGCTTCGATCAGCTCACTAACAGAATGGGATTAGAATGTAAGTTATTTGAGATGAAGCAAAGTCTTTGTCCCCTTTATCTGATAACTAGGCGGACGAATGAGTATAAACTTAAAACTATATGGAGTAGAAGTTCAGAAGATAATTATTTGATGAACATATAAGATATAAGACAATCGTAAAAAGTACCTATAATATTTCTAAGAGTAGGGATCTAAGGGGTTTCTTTGACCCCTAGTTTTTATTATAACGCACACACATTCTTCTATCAAAAGATGGAACGCAAATTTGTGAAAGAAGTTAATGACGATAAATTGGTGTAGATGTTGACGGTACCAGATAATCTGAACGTCTAATTGTGGTAATGCACGCAGTCCTTAAATGTGTATCAGGAATTTGATAAAAGTTGCGTTATAACAATGAACAATGTTAGACTGATAAGTATATAAGTAATGTTTATTAACATTTAAAAATTACGAGAAAAATATCCCACGGTATACAAGAATTATAACAGTTATACGACATTGTAAGTACAACATGGTTGAAAAACCATTAGTCCACCGCGAGTCCACCTAATTTTGCTAAAATATGTTAATGGAAATCAGAAATGCAGGGCACCAAAATATAATTGTTATTCAATATATTTAAGGAAAACTTTAACATTTTCCTTAAAATAATTGTCTCAATTCATTATATTTAGCCTTGTACGTTGCAATGTGTTTATCGAACACATCTAATAAATAATTTGCTGTCGCGTGGAGTTCAAATGCCTAAGTCAGTAGGTCTTAAATAGATTCAAAGAGCTGTGATAATAGGGACGAGAAAATGACGTTCGTCAAGATAAGAATGTGGGTCAGATGTGGAAGAAATAGCGTTAGACGGCCAACGTACTCGCGTGCGTGCGTCTCTAGGAATGCAACATTCAACATCAGAAATGCGTTATGAAATTGTGCACCACACCAGATTACATAGAATTATTCTCTGCGTTCAATGTTATCAGCTAATGACAGGAAGCTGTATCGCGTATCTCACTCCAAATGTTCTTTACTATCGAACGCTTTCTTGCTAAGCATTTTAATAGTGTAGGCCTTGGTGCCAATTTTTTGTTACTTGGGCAATAGTATGAGATTAGCTTAATTCATCATAACAAATTCAACTGTAAACATCGATTGTTTAGACTATAACTTTTTATTATTTATCAAATAGCTGAAGTAGCATTAGGCATTAAGTTTCATTGGTAAGTTAGTCCTAGACTTAGGACGTAAATTAATCTGCAGTAAGTTACTGCAAATATGAGTGGAAAATATAGCTCCATTAAATTTTATGTTACAGCGGTATGCGCCCTAATGCTGGGTTCGAGACTTGGTTTCCTAGAGCGTTGGATGTCGGGCCGGGCGGCAACCCTAGCATCCGCCGTGAAGGCTCACTTCAGAGCCCAACGAGACTCCTTCTATGGTGCTCCACTATGGAAGTTTGCACCCACTACACTGTACAGAACGTTCGCTAAGAGCGAGGATACCATTCATACGTGAGTTAGTTCCCCTATCTTAATAATGAGCGTAAATATAGTTGTTACGACTTTCGTTATTGACTTGATGATTGATGAGTTATTACTCACAATGCGTGGCCACTGTTTTTTATAAGATACAGTAAGTCTGTGACATTGGACGTTGTGTATTTACAGCCAGTACCTATAAGCGCTTATTGTTTACTGATCGTTCAAGTTCACATTGATAGGTATCTATTATTGCGTTTCATAACTATCGCTTTGAGCGTTTGCAGTTTATAAAATAAATATTACTTAATCATCCTATTTAATATAATGATGACGCATAGGTATTGGTTGAACAATACCTACCTATGTAGAAATATCCTTGGACCGATAAGGTGATCCATTTTATAAATAGGTTCTTCCTCACCGAGCTTTTAGCCTTGACTGTTTTTGTGTGGTTCGTTAGATGGAGGTCAGCAACTCTTTTTATGACGCTGAGCAAACGGTTTTTACAATGCATACAATGAAATAAGAATAAAAGTGCAGTTCCTACCTAAACAAAAACTTGCGACCTTGACTTTTAATAATAGCTTAGATGTAGGTCTGAGTGTCTACCGTTTATGAGATTTATGACTCGTTTATTTTATTCGTTTCTTTATATTAATAAGGCAATTAGGTAGTCGTAGGTATAATATCGTATACAGTTAGCAATAAAATCAAATTATTGGCAGGATAGTATCGGATCTGATGGAAGAAGCAAAGTTAAAGACGCAAAAAAATGCTAGCGACGAAGCGATGCGGGAGATCTTTATGAGGATTCTGGAAAACCCCGCTCTTGACATGAGGGATAAGAAAGCTGCAGTCATTGATTTTATCACAGCTGGCATTGAGACGGTAAGCCTATTGGGAACATTAATAATGTAGAATGATTGTTTATAAATATAGTCTTGAAATAGTTCTATTCGACGAATTTCTGACTGCATACGCATTTACGGAAATAATGCCTTGTTTAGCAAATTCAAGTGCCTACGTTTTGTGAAATGCTTGGTAAAACAAACAGGCATTCTTCTTTTTGAACCATATAATTTCGTCATAACTAAATACTGCTTTTTTCTAACATGCCCTTTGTTTTTATTGACAGCTAGCGAACAGCCTCGTGTTCCTTTTATACCTACTGAGCGTTCGACCGGATTGGCAACGCACCATTCGCTCCGAACTACCTTCATGCAGTACATTGACTGTTGAGGATCTTGCAGCCGCTCCATCAGTACGCGCTGCAATCTCCGAAGCTTTTCGACTGTTGCCAACCGCACCTTTCTTGGCCAGGCTACTAGAAACTCCTATGGTAATTGCGGGACATAAGCTGCCTGCTGGGGTGAGTTTCTTATTTTTTTTTTCTAAAAAGATCACAATTACATGTTGTTGTCCGATAGAGGCTGACAACCAGTTACTATAATCTTTGCGTACTTCTAATGCTTCTACTACGTTCATGGACCTGGCTATCTCTATAATTTGACTTATTTTAAACTTCGTCCACTGGCTTTCTTTACTTGGTTTATTATTGACAGTGGCCTTAATCAACTATAGCTCATTAAGTTCGATATTATACGAGACATCTGCTGTCATCCTATCGATAGCTTTATTGGTTAAGTAATAAAATGAGAGTGCTCTAGTAGCTTAGTAGGCAGATAATGCAGTTACTAGCGCTATGAAAAGATTGGCAGTGAAAGTCTATGATACAATGATAGTTAAACCAAGTTTTTCTTCTGATTAGGTACTTTTGTCTCCATCGCGATTGGATTTAGATTTTTTTGTTAATACTAATTTAAATTTTACAGACTTTTGTGTTAGCGCACACGGGTGCTGCGTGTCGTCGCGACGAAAATTTCTGGCGCGCTCGTGAGTACCTACCAGAGCGTTGGTTGGAGCCCAGAGCACCTCACGCTGCTGCTTTAGTCGCCCCCTTCGGGCGGGGGCGACGTATGTGTCCTGGGAAGCGATTTGTGGACCTCGAACTACATCTACTCCTGGCTAAGGTAGACATTACCAATATCGCTTTACCCATTGACTTAATTTCAAACTGCGATCAACATTCGTACTTATCCGTGGGAATCTGCAATACCGTGTCATTTGGGTATTCCCAAATTTAGAACATTTTTAATCCTTTTTTAAACAACTCCATTATGTTTTTAGTCTTTTTGGGAACACGTCTGCAGGTTATTGAATAACCCGTTTGAACATGGGATAAATGGATTCATCTGGAAGTACTCCTTTTAAAAATATATTTTGAAAGTTGTAACAAACATAATAATCACATTACTTCTAGTGTGCTGATCTGAGTTTATTTTGTTTACTGCAAGTTGTTCAACCCAGGTGAAGTATTAAGCACCTTATTGCGTAGTGTAGTAGAATAATTTCACTTTTTTCTTTCCAGATAATGCAAAGATGGCGTGTGGAGTTTGATGGTGAATTGGACATTCAGTTCGACTTCTTGCTATCGCCCAAGTCTCCAGTGTCGCTGCGGTTAGTTGAGTGGTAGTCGCAGATATATTGTTAAGATTTGTAATTGTCTTTATGCTTCGTAGATCATAGTTACTACTTAAACGATTGTACAAGACAATGTTTAGCTTTTATTCAGGGAAATGATACTTAAACTCAACATTTTATTGGGAATAGACGTTCAAGTTGGTTGATGGTTTTAATGTACCATCTAAACAACTTTCTTCTGAATAAAGGCCGAATACAGTGGGTTTGTATAATTAAAGCTTTACTGAACTAAAGATCGACGTACACCTTTATATCCGATATATTTTATTGTAATGACTGTAATGAAGTTCGTCTTATGTGAGATCGTATGAAGATGAAGTTCGTATATATGAGAGTCGCTATATAATGAGAGTGTTCGCTTTGTCTTCCATTTGCTTATTTAAGACCCATCTAACTACTAGTGAAACAGTGAAACCTGGAAAGTGGGATCTAAAGGCTCAGGATAATTCACTTTAAGAGATTTTTCTTTTACCCAGTTTCCCAAATACGCAGGTTAACTTTGCAATTGGCATATTACAAGAGTCCCTACAAAGGGTATTATGAAGATCGTAAAACATCACGCCAGAAATATTCTTGCTTATTCGAGTAACTGAGCTAAAAGGTTCTAATTGAAGAAATAAGTATCGAAAAGGATCGATGCAAGGATTCCAAAATATTATCGAGTTATTTCAATGCAAAAGCGTCACAACTACATTGTAAATTAACAGCAGATGTTTGACATAATCCAGTACCCACTTTTCCAGATTTCACTGTACTAAGTTTCTACTTAAGTAAATAATTATGTACCTAAGTGAATGGTCTTCTCAAATTACTTTCATATGTTGTAACTAATTTGTAACTCAGTTGCCATGACAGCTTCGAAGCGTGCGTTACAGGGTATTGGCAAAATCTGCTCAAATCGCACACTTCTTTCTAATTTTGAAAGAACTGTTCACAAATTATTGAATAAGAATGTAATGTATGTAATATTTAATCATAAACTAGATGTAGCTACACAATATTATAAAAATATGGCTGTGTTAATATCAAAAACATATTTATATAAAATGTTATAACCGCAAATACCTCTTGTTATAAGACTGTGTACTGCCAGCACATGCATTTGTCAGGAATTTTAACGAAATTTTAATCTAAGTGTAAACATAAGACTAGCGATAAAAGCATTCCATTTTATAATAAGTTTTTGGTAAACCAGCTTCTACATTTATGTTGGAATCATGAATTAATTAGAAGTGGCCATTTCCTATGATTATTTTGTAATGTATTTTAATATTGGCGATGGCTGTAGGGACAGCTGAAACATGGATCTTATGCATCCTTGATAGCTTTTTATTAGAATGGATATTATTATTGTATTGTATTTTATAGGAATCACATAAACAAGGACATTGTTATTAAATATATTATTATGAAATGAAGTGAATATAATATTTTAATTAAATATAACATAATAATGTAAAAATGTACTACATATACAACTACGTTTGTGTTTTATTTCATTGGTCAACACTACGTAAACGAATTCAGATTTAAGAAGAAGTAATCATATTTCCTTACGTAATTGAAGCAGGTACTCATGAGCAGGTATGGCCCATATGGTATTTTGAAGTATCACAGCCCGTATAATAGGTACATAGTTTGTTTAATGGACGGCCCCTTATGAGGGACTTACTTAATAAATTACATTATCTACAGGAAAAAGTTAACCTACTTAGTCAAAGGTAGGTAATGTTCACGCTCTGTCCCCAATAAGTAGGTATCTGTAATTAAGTATCAGCAAAAAACTAATCAGGGTCGATTATTATGTCTCCTCGATTAACCGCTTGGATGCCTGTATATGAGACAATAGAAAATAAATTGTGTCTCGCGTGGATCCACGTTTAGACAAACGACGGGTTAAAGGTAAGGACAATATCAGTAACTTGATTCAGTAGGACCTGAGAGGTGCAACTAAAGCCTAAATTATAGTAAAAAAAACTTTCGCCTCTTATATTCCCTAGGGAGTAGGAGGAGTTAAATGTTAGATCTACTTTACATCAGTTATGTCGTGTGTTGACTGATGAAAAGGGGATGTTAGATAATAAGGGGTGAGCCTGTTGAAAGAAGAAATATGAACAGTTGCAGAAATGGTTTTGTTGAAAAAATCTAACATTTTATAGAAAGGTAATAGGGTAGGGAAGCTCAGGATGCTGAAGTTACTCGAGGTCGTAACGAAGGGGGTACGGGATTTTGATGATTTGGTAGTTGCAAGATAACAAGAAAAATGAGCGATGATATGTGATATCAGAGCAACCAAAAAATTAAATCTAACGTCCCAAAATTTGTTGCGGTTTCAGTATTTTTTGGCGATAAATACAACAAATAATTACCTCAACATAACACAAAAGATAACAAACCGAGGTTTTGCAACAACTTGTGGTGAGATAGGTTATCAGTTTTATTTGAATAACATCATACACTTAAACAAAACAATAACTAAACGCACACTTCAATCAGCTGTGTATCAGGCAACATCTGTCACATACATAACCTCCAACTTTTTATTTATTTTGAAAATAGAACATGAAGTTCTGTGCAAACTTGTCGTTTATGTTTACGGAAGCATCGTCGATGCTCGAAAGATATGCATTGGCTAAGGAAGCTGGATTCAAAGCAGTTGAAAGCGGTTTTCCCTGGGGTTTGACAGTGGAACAAGTGAAGGACGCAAAGGAAAAAGCCGGCGTAGAACAAGTTTTAATCAACTTGAAGACTGGTAAGTAAATAAGTGCTCTCAGATTGATAAAATTGTTGATTTCTAGATTAAATTCTATTTGATACCTATACACTACTTATACATTTTATATTGATATCAATGGCTGGCTTTTCCAGGAGATGTTACCAAGGGAGAATTGGGAGTTACGGCAGTGCCAGGAAAAGAGAATGAATTTAAAGAAAACTTTGCCGCCACAGTCAACTACGCCAAGGCTCTGAACGCCAGGAAAATTCATATAATGGCGGGGAAACTACAGAACGCGACGTCACAAAACTGGGAAACTTATGAGAACAATTTAAAGTATGCAGCCGGTGTGTTGAAGAATGAGAATCTCCTTGGTGTCATTGAGCCAATAAATCAATATTCCGTGCCCAACTACTTTTTAAGTGATTTTAATAAAGGTATGAAAGTTATTATTAAATTTGACATCCCTAATCTTGCCAAAGAAATTTAATTAGGACTTAAAACCCTGTAAACTTGAAGTTCTAGTTGAGTAGATGCTCATTTTTAGACTTCAATGGTTTTGTAAGAGCAAAACTGGTTTCTTATCACCATGGAATGGACTAAACATTTAAACATTAAGTGTAATCTTTGGTATTCCAGCACTGGATATCATCAAGCGCATCAACAGCCCTAACCTGAAGCTGATGTTGGATGTGTTTCACTTGCAACAAATATGTGGAGATATTTCACACAGCATTGCTAACTTCATGCCCTATGTTGGACATGTGCAGGTACAGTAAATACATTGATAAACAAAAGATGCAGGCCAAAGCTTGCTCGATAGGCGTTAATGTAAGATGGTTTAGTAGTTAATGGAAGATTATATGAATGATCATTTTAGTTTGATGCATGAGCATGTAAGGATACTGTGATAACTTATGAGAATAATCAACACATTTGGTAATTTTCATTGACTTGCAAATTTTAAGGAAGTCCCCATAATAGTATAAATTCCATTAGGAAGAAGAATTTTTAAATATGGTTATTTCACTAATTAGAATCATTTAAAAATTATTTCAAATTGATGATTATTACTGTATGAATTATTGTATAATTTTACAATGACACAATGATACAAGAAATCAAATGACTTGATTACAGATAGCACAAGTACCAAACCGCAATGAACCAGACACTGCTGGCGAGATAAACTATAAGTATGTACTCGAGCAAATAGAAACCAATGGCTACACTGATTGGATCGGATTGGAGTACAAACCACTAAAGAGTTCTAAGGACGGACTCGTTTGGGTCAACAATTATGGTTACAGTCTGTGATACTGAGGATGACAGATGATTAAGAAAAAAATTTACTATGTGTAAGACAAATGAGACCTCAATATAAACAATAAATGGTTGAAATTCCAATGGAGAATGTATAAAATGCTCAAATTAAATCAAATGTTTATGTAAATAAAAAGTTTGTTGGAATATAAAAACGTTTATTACTATGTATGATTAAAATAATAATGAATTAATAATTAATTAATACTAACTAACAGTGTTTGTGAGTATTATGCACCATTACTTTGGAACTGCTGTACCCAATAGTGCTTCTTCACTGCATCTAGTGATAGCCGCTCTTTGCTTGAATGTCGTAAAAGCTGTAAAGAAGTAGTAACTACTGTACTTTCATATCACACAACCATAATTTAAGTTACCCACGAAGTACCTGAGTGCGATTAACTTTTGTCATTGAACATTCGTTTGAAAATGATTTTAAAAGACTTTAATGTCTTGAGAAGTTGAGATCGATAGATATTGCAATGGCTTTTTGTTACTTCAGAAACATTTATTACTATCAATTAAAACAACTTATAGAACATAACATCACGCCTTTCATCCCTGAAGGAGTAGGCAGAGGTGTACATTAAGGCACTTAATGCCACTGTACAATATAACACACAATTTTAACCATTTATGTTATGAGTCCCATTTTGACTGCACAGTTGGTGTGGTGGCTGGGCAACCGGCTGCCGTGCAACGTGTCGCGGGTTCGATTCGCACGGAACAACACTTTGTGTGATCCACAAATTGTTGTTTCGGGTCTGGGTGTGTATGTGAATTTGTATGTTTGTAAACGCACCCACGACACAGGAGAAAATCCTAGTGTGGGGCAACGTTTTATTTAAGAAAAAAAAAAACTGAGAGTTAAAAAAAAAACTATACTTTTCCCAACCCGGGAATTGAATCCCTTGCCCAGCAGTCGCACTGGCGACCAATCAGCCAACAAGGCAGTCAAAATTTATGTAAAGAAAATCAAGTCTTATGAAAAGAAACATTCTAAATACCAACCTTGGAAATGAGATCTTTGGCTCCTTCAGGTACGTAGCTAGGATACACCATATCTAATGCAAGGATCCTGGCATATGTCTTGTCTTGTCCTTCACTCTCAAACGGAGGCTTGCCCACAAGGAACTCGTACAACAGCACTCCGATGCACCAATGGTCAACGGACACATCATACACTTCCCGCTTTATCATCTCCGGAGGTAGATAGTCTAATGTACCACACATTGTTTTACGCCTAGAAACATGGAAGTAATACTTAAGTAATTCGTGTTTATATTAAAACTTACGTAAAATTACTAGTCGAGTTCCTCGTCAAATAGTTACGTGAGTAAACCGAAAACGTAATATTAGTAATTTGTGTTATTGAATTTTTAAGCAGTTTATTGATCAATTGAAGAAATAGCAAAATTATGTGGTAAGGGGGAAAATAGACATGGAGGCATGCACATTGACCTGTGTTAAATTCTATATCACAAAGAACAAGTTATTATTAAATAAACTTATAGTCACAACATGAATACCGATTGGTAACTGATTGATTTGTCACTTATTTGATAGTAACATTTTGTTCTGTTCTATATAAAATCAATCTAGAATGCTAAATATCTCACTCTTACCTCTCGGAAGGTGCATGCACAGACCAGCCGAAGTCTGCCAACTTCAAGTCCCCACTGAAGTCCACAAGTATGTTCTCAGGCTTGATGTCTCTGTGTATCACATGGTGCTGGTGACAGTATTCCACTGCATCCGCAACCTGGAGTCATAGACAAATATAAATAGTAGAAAACCTCTTAACTCGTAGAGTACCGTCATTATAGACACAATTATAGAACAATAGGTTGCGGTCACCGGTGACCACTTGGTGTTTGACAGTTTAATGAAGGTTAGACTTCTTTCTCATTAGAATGCATTAATTTCTGGTCTGGAATTTTCAATTTACATTTGTGTTTGTAACAAAAGGATTTTCTATTGAGTACTCAATGGAATGTTAATTATGGACATGAAGACACTCTATTGTTTATTTTCTGAGATTAATCACAGAAATGCAATGAATAATTGTTACAACCAGCTATAAAAAAATATTTTCAAGTTTTACCTGATAAATGTATTTAGCAGCTTTAGCTTCAGGGAAACGGCCCTTGGGTGAGTTAGTAAGATGTTTGTAGAGTTCTCCTCCCGCTGCAAACTCTACAACTAGATATATACGACGCATATCATGGAACCAGGTCAACAGACGTAATATATTTGGATGCCTACAAAGAAAAATCATTTTATTAGACATATCTATTGAGTGACTTGGAAAAGTTGTTCTCTCACTTTTTTTAAGGGAAATGTAAAGTAAATGGCAACGTATACGTTACCCTATAGGGTACTTACTTCAGATGTGACTGAATCTCTATCTCTCGCATCACTTGCCGTTCACATTTGGATCTCTCTATCTGAGATTTGAACAATGTTTTGATGGCCACTAAATAACCGGTTTTCTTCTCTCTGGCAACGTGAACGTGTCCAAATTTGCCTTGACCAAGAGCTGACCCGAGCTCAAAGTCTCTAGGAGACCATTTATACCTAGAAATATAAAAACAATAAGTAAAAAAATATTTTTCATCTTTGTATGTTTAGCACAAGGTTTGACAAATTCACGTACGCATTCCCATATGCCTCATGGTTTATTATTTTGTTTTCCAATTCCAGCACGTCACTTTTCATTGTCATAATACTTATTACTTATTATCTCAATTTCAATTCAATATGTTATTTTCAATAAAATTAATTTATAGAACTTGTCAATACAAACAACACAACGTCTTTTTGTCGTCCGTTACGTTTTGAATACTTTGTTGACAGTTTGACAGAAGAATATTCTCTATTACACGAAATGAACTATGACTGAATGAAAAAGGATATTGCCAACATTACGAACCCACTACTGGTAGTCTCGACATTGATAATAACGACTTTACAACTTAACGACAGTAATCGATCGCTATGTCGTGTGTCTGTAGCTGGATTATTATTTTTTTTTATATCACGACGTTGGCAAAAAGGAATACGACACGCTTGATGCAGTGCAATATATATATTTTTTCAGTTTTAATTATGTAATTTGCTTTTAAATTGCCTTTAAACCTCGGCTACAGAATCGTTCGTAGTAAGTGAATATAGCTTAAGTTGGCAAATTCCAAATAGTTTTTTTTATATTTAATAGCTTGTTGTTGTGTTTCTACTGAAATATAAGTTCCCAACTCCATGCTACGATCTATAGGGGCCGAGCAGCGGGTGAAACAGCGTGGGACAAACAATTAAAAAAAAAAATCAACGTCCCCCAAGCGGTCAGCGGTGACCGCTTTCTACTAATTCCACTATGTAGTTTATTTCCCATGTTTAGACTCTATTTTTCTATGAACAATGTTTGGAGATTCTCGGTACGACATATCAAATGATTAGGAGTCAGCTTCAGGCGAGTGCTTCAGCTACATTAAAACTTTTATTGCTCGTATGATTCCTATTCCAGAAAAAAGGTACTCTTTATCACTATATCGAAGTGATAAATTTAAAATGATTGCAATTTAGGTAGGAATAGTTGCAAGCTTTTGATTCCATAGAAACTAAAATACTCCAGATTTTGTCACCGATGGCTTGCTGCTATCTTGACAAATTCTCAAAGTCCAGAGTAAATATTATTTCTCCGGTAATTAGAACTCTGGCGGTTACAGAGGGAACGAGGTAGTTTCAGAAAGAAAAACACTTTCCTTATAAAATACACACCAACATCACCGTTTGAAAAAAAAACACAGAAACATATTTGTTACAAAGTAACAACTGTTACAAGCTACCTACGCTAATCTCTGAGTGGAGATCTAATCGGACTTTTCGTCTAGTTAATGGGACTTTTACTGGAGTTTAAGGGTGTGTCGATTAGCCGGATAACGCTACGATTTTCTTTCTTTTGCTGTTTTCAAAGAGATTATTATCGTTATAATTATAGTACCAGGTGCTCAGTCATTTGTGATGTTGGATATTAATAGATATTACTAATAACAACATATTGTGACGATTTTTCCCGGAAGGTACCAATGCAGAGGTCTGCAAATGTAACCAATTTTTACAATCCTTATGTTATGAATTATATCTGCAATAGGGGAGGGGGATGAGTCTATTGCTATATACCAGCCACAATAATCAACATCAGTAAATATACTTAACAGTAGTTGCTTAAAACTTGTCATAAAAATAACGATCACTTTGAAAAAAAAAAACTACGCAGTAAAAATCTCGTCGGTGTAATTATGATGCTCAAGTGAAGTTAAAGGATGTACTTAGTTGCCAAGAGGAGGTTAGTGCAGCGTGGGTGCGTTGTTGTGAAAACACTCTTTGGCTGGGGCTGGGGTAAGGAGGGAGGGGGTTAGGGCGCTCCCTAACCCACCCCAACCTTAACGAGCTCAACCCCCATTACTAGATCTGTTTATTTCCGAACGCACCGATGCCTGACACATAAACAGATAGCAAATGTAATTAATTTCAGCTTTCATAACATTAATTAAATGTTGTCGCGTTGAGTTTGGTAGATGTTTTTTTTTTGCGAAAATTGTACACGATGTTATTTGTTTCACCGAGGCTTTGTGGAGGAGTGAAACAATTTAGACATTTTTGTACTACATTGATTTTTTAACTAAAATATATATTTTGCGAACCTGAGTACGAACCTCGCTTAAATTAAGGCTCGGCACCTGAATGAACACTGACTTTCTTCAGAAGCCTACGTAAGCTTGACCTAAGTAGATATTGTAGATAATGTTATGAAAAAAAAATCGGGATCAAAAGTCAAACAGAGAGGCAAAAATGTGAAAATATTTACTTTATTCTTATCAAAACAAGGCACAAAAGGGACTAGGAAAGTAATTTGGTACACAATCGATGTCGTTATAATACGCTTACATGTATCAGGATCAGATGATGTTATAAGTTAATATAAAACAAACAAAATGCGCAGTACATCGCGCGGCGAGAGTTTCCTAGCCACCCCCGGTACCGAGCCGGTGGCGGGAAAGCGTGGAAAACGCGCGCATGGGGTGGCGGGCCGGGCTCATTCCGTGGTGAGGCGCCGCTCAATCGATACACCGCTTTTGTACGACAAAATCAACAATTTTACCTTTAAAATATCTTAAAATTATCCAAACATTTCCTTATGATTTTATTTAGAAGTATTATTTGTGGTGCAAGTGAATTTGTTGAGTATTTGCGATGTGTTATGAACCATAAACAAGTGCGTCGCAAAACCGCTTCAGTCTAGGTAAGTAATAATTATTGGCACGTTGAGATGACCTAGTTATCGCCCTCGTGTAGGACCTGTGCATGTCTCGTAATTTAGTGTTATTTCGCAGCAGTGGTCAGTTTTAAGAGCTAATTTATAGTTCGTTAGTTATTTCTACGCAGTAAGCAAGCAGGAAAAGGAAAGAAATGCCTTTCACTTAGTATATAAATAACTAGAATTTATTATTATTTACTTACGTATATCCACTACATTTTGCGAAAACTTTTATCCAACAAGTAAGAGGATAAGAAACAATGAGCTTAGACTGACGTCCGTACAAGTTGTTTTGGTGGCACGCAATTTTAATGAATCATCAAAACATTTCCGCAGTTATAATTTTGATGTTTAGATAATGAGATATTGTCAAATATAGGAGATAGAACTCCTTACTGTATCATTAAAAGTTAAGCTCAATTTCCCTTATCAATTATTACACTGAAGTCTGATGACAAGATGCGATGTTAGATACTAATTTCTCGTAGTACGTACCATAATGTCCGCCCCCACAGAATAAATTTCGAAATCGTGAGTGTCATTGACCGTGGCACAGTGCCATTGCCACCCTTGTCGTCTCGCATAGAGCCAAATCCGTCACCTCCGGTCCTTAGCTTAGGGGCCAGAGGTCCGCTGCCAAATCGACTGCACTTACAAGTCACAATTGTCTGAATATTGTCTTCAATTAATTGAATGAGAGAAGTTTGCAAATTAGTGTCTGATACTGTAGCAGTAGATGGTAATGATTTGTTCTTATCTGTCTTCATCTTGGTTACATTGTGCGTTCTCTGGTTTGGTAGTGTTTTTCGGAAAATGTGCATGTTTGTATAGCACTTTCTATTGAAGCTTTTTTTTTGTTTAAGTTCAACACCTTATTAACTTATTGGATAGTAATGAGTTTGTAAAGGTTTGTTTGTTACATAAATAGTAACTTTCATGAGCCTTACTTTTCGCATAAGTGCGCAGTACGCCTAAAAGGGATATGAACTTTTTTTTCAATCATTAAAGTTCAAATTATGCAATGTTACAAGTCGAAGCTGTTCAAATATGGTGTGGTTATAAGAGACATGATTTAACACTTCCAGCTTAAACACCATAATTAACGATCTCGATTTACTTTCGTTCCGATACACGATAGTGATTAAAGCACTACCTTTTTCCTTTCGCTTAGTAATTGTTCGTTTGTTTAAACATATCTGGCTGGGTATCGACAAGAACCCAATGGTCGAAAGTCGGCCCTTCGCGAGGAAAGCTGTTTACAGTCGGTAACCAGTCAAACATCGACAGACTCGAGTGTGAGACCACGGGAGAAAAGCTAGTGTGACCATTGTGTAACTGCCGGATGAGTGAAAGGTAGGAAAACAGAAATTTATAGGTACATAGACACATGTCAACAGTTCTAATGGGTTGTAAAATACAGTTTTATAACTACTGCGTGCATTTGAGTGCAGCTGTCATCATAAAATTAGGGTTTCCTTATGATTTGATAAATGGGTTAAAATACAAAGTGGTCGAGATAATAGAACAGCTGCCGTGATGATGTTTAGAGAGTTTTAATTGCATTGAGGTAATTCTATTTAAAGCTTAATAGTTTTGTGTGGTAGCATTGTAATAAATGCTACGAATTCATTCCGGGATAACGAAAGAATTATGCTTTTTGGTAATGTAATTTTTGAAATGTTAAGGAATCTGTGGTTTACGTAAAGTATTCTTTTGAAACAATACTAAACTACACGCAAATATTGCATTAGGTTACTAGGTATTTCCTTAATTAAGGATATGCTTAGATTTATTAATAGGTAATCTTAAAAAATAG